CTTTTTGTAGGTGCTATGTCTGGAGGCTTCAATTTTCAGGTTACAGATGGTCTGAACTTTTCACCTCGGCAAATATTTAGCATCACAGCTCGAACTTTGGTTATTCGACTAGAAAAGAACAACGGACTGGCAGTTTTCCCAGGTAAGATTTCTGAGAGATTTCATTTTAAAATATTATAAATGTATTTCAAATATACTAAGCGATGAAGTAGAATGTCTGATCAATATTCAGCGCTTTAGATAATTTGTTTTTGGATATAGCTTTCAGAATCCTTCAGCCAGCAGAATAAAAAAAATCATCTTGATTCAGGTTTTTCTTTTTCACTTTTCAGGGCCAGCACTACTCTGAGATGGTAGCAAATCCTGGGTGGAGGCAGCAATGTAGTATTGTGCAATACATAGCTTCTTTGTGCCTCCTAAATATGTCAGTTACCATACTGTGTGGTGGAAGATGTATTTCCCGTGAGCAGTATTCAGAGTGGATTCTTCTGCCAGCTATTTTTTGATGGCATGGATCTTTTAAGAATAGGAAAGCAGGAGAAAATGTGAAAAGCAAGCACCTGAAAAGGTGCATAATGTTTACAAACAAATTTTAGTTCGGTCCATAGAAGCACTGCCCATAATAAGATGATTTAACAAAAAAAAGGCAAGAAGTCAACCGATTTGCAGTCTGAAGAAACATGATCTTAATACAATGCATTGGCAGGGATTTTCGGTCCAAACCACTATCCCTGCAGCTGCTTTTGGAGTGCAAGATAGCTTCAGGCATGAGCTTTTATAGGAATTTCTATAGTAAGCCAAAGATAATTATAAGCAAACTGTCCCTGATGCATTTTTAAAGGGGGAGTAGCTCTGTTTTCTGCCATTCCGCCCACATTAAAGGAGTAATATTTTTCCCAGCCCTTTTAACTATTCTGTGCTTGGCTTGCAGTAAAAGCTAAGATTTTTTTTCTCTCCCTCTGAGTTAGAAAATGTCTTGCCTGGCTTTAACTGATTGGATTCACCTACTGGTTACTCTGGATTCTTTGAGCTTTCTTATGGTCTTTCTTTTCCTTTTGGGTATAAAGAAACAAAAGTTTCACTCAAAAAA